CATAAAGGGGTTTATGGGCTGCCCTACATGCAACAATTGCACCAAAGTAGCTCATATAACTTTTTGAATGATGAACTTCGTGCCTTGTTTTGACGTGTGCAAAAAACATGTGGCTGCTTCTTGCTTTGGGGTGCAATTAAAGCGGAGTTCCACTCGACCTATCAAAAACTGTAGCTGCTGACTTTTAAAAAACAGCCACTTACCTGTCCCTCGGTCCCATGGTGTGTCCCCCGCAGCTCGTTTCACCAGCCGTCCTGTATTTCAGGAGGCCGGCATCTTCAATGTGGGCACCCGGCTGTGACTGTGCTTCACAGCCGGGTACCCCCTGTGCATGTGCAAGTAGCGCTGCGCTTCATGAATGGTCCTGTAGTCTTCTGGGACCTGTCACGTGTCCCAAAAGACTACAGGGAGGGAGGACACCTCCTGCTAGGCGATCGGACCAGAAGTGGGAGTGGGTATCTGTCAAATTTGGATATGCGCTCCCCCCCCGCTCCCCAAAGGTGGCAATCCTTAATGGGGAGTGGGGGAGCAGTCCTTAAAGCGGAACTTCCCCTTTTGGGTGGAGCTCCGCTTTAATAATGGCGCTGCTAGTGTGACACACAAAATGCTCAGGTGTGGATGCAGCCTAAAAATCCAACACTTTATAGCTCAGCCAGTATAATGACCTGAAATCTCTCTTTATACTGAGTTGCCACAAACCAGGTGAAAGTTAAAATCAGGCTGAAAGTGAGAATGGCTGTAAACCAGTGGGAGGGATAGGGAGGTAAGAAGGCGGACTTACAGGATAGAGTTGCCGGTGCAGTGACCAATAAGACATTGAAGGGGCGGGGCAGTGGCACAGGCTATGCAGAACAGCAGCACAGCAAAGCAGGGGCCTTACATTTCAAGGGGCATTGACTTCCAGCTGGTAAAATGATTCCCATATCTGGGTTTCATTTGTGTGTTTAGCTTTTCAGCTGGAGTTGGTTTATTTATTGGTAATATTTATTTTTTGCTTTTTGCATAAGGAAGCCTTCGAAAAACAGGATTTCCTCATAAATTTTTCCATCTTAAAAAGTTTGTGACAGCTTTGAGAAGCATTCCAATCTGTGAAATCTGCTTATGCTCTCACCAGTTTGGACACATCTGAAATTTCTGGCCCCGCGATGGGAAGAAATACAGTTAGTGAAAGGAGGCACGCGGCACGCCGCAGATTCACCTGCGGGGAAATGCGCCATCCTCTGTCTTTCCCTGGGGGAACCAGCCAGTTCCATAAATTGATTTTTATGTTCTTAATCCAAAAACTTGGGAGGCAGAAGAAACCTAATTGGCCGAACTCAAGCCTCTGTCCTTATGAATAACGCAAGGCATTAGACTGAATTTTATTCTATAAACTCATTTCATCCCTGCAGTGCAATAAAGAGTCTCATTCCAACTTTTAACAAAGTGCAAGAAAAAAAAAACAGTCACAAACCCCTATGTGCGGTTCTGTTTACAGCAGATCTGATAGTCTCGTGTTTCAGGTACAGGGAGTGGTTGAGATATAGCAAGAGCAGACAGAGCTCACTATTTAATCCACAGGATAAAAACAGAAACAAATTTTAGCCTTGTGGCTTGGGGGGGGGGGGGACTCATTTAGCCTTCCTAGAGGAAGGTGTTAGAAATGTGTGGCTGAGCTGTGTTTTTAGCGCCCCCAACCAAATGCAGTGAATGGGTATGTTTATGATCCGGGGTTGCAACACTTTGCTTCAAAACTACTAACTGCCCACTGAACATGATCCATTCAAGTGAATGGGGAGGAGCCGCAAACACCCAGTAAATGTGCGTATTGCGCACGATTGCAATGGGTTGGTGCAGCAATTATGGGGTTGAAACAGGCAGTGAGGTGTTACATCGCTTCTGCAATGCCTTCCAAATGACTCACTAATGCAATCCAAACGCAGATCACTTTTCAGAGGCGCGGCAGTTCAGACGCAAGTCTAAACTTAGCCATCCAGAGAGCTTGTTTCAGGCTCAGAAAATGTGGTCTTGCTAAATGGAGCAGAGTAGCCCTGTAGCGTAGTGTACATTTTTCCAGCATGTGAACCTATTGCATGACATGAAATACGAGAAAATACTTTGAATTACAAACCGTTTACAAAGCTGAATGCAAAATACCAGTAATTCAAGACACTAATCACCTTGGCTACACCAGCAATGTAACTCTTGAGGAGACGCAATGTATCCGTTATCAGCACAATGAACAATGAACAGGCCGAACAATACCTAAGACATCAAAAAAGAAGTCTCATCATTTGGACGCGGATGACAGAATGCCCACATTTACCTCCAGGCGTTTTCTGTCCTGCGTAGCCCAGCCTTGCCATGCATTTTCTGGGACTGTGTTGGGTCCTGCGTACTCGGGTTTTGCGTATTCTAAAACTGCTTTTCTTTCCATACAAGTCAATGGGAGCAGCTTGTTAACCCCTCGAAACAGTCTTTATTGTTTGTTAGCCTCACTTTTGCCCCGTACACACGATAAGAAAATCGTATGAAAATTTAGCGGAACCACTGATCGAACGATTTTCTCTTCGTTGATGAGCAGGATGTTTTAACCGATAACGATATTGTAAACAAAAAATCCGGTTGAACAACAGTAAAAAAATTTGTAGTTTCGCATGCGAACAACCAATTTTCTATGCGGTGGTATGACGGTCGTACGAAAAAAATCTATCAAGCGCTATCACGCATGAGCAGAAACAGAAGATGACCTGGATGTTTATGTCCAAGGAATCTTCATAAACACGAACGAAAAATCCAAATGTTAAAAGTAGATTGGCCTAATGAGATAATGAAACCAGAATTGTGCAGATTATATTTTATGTATCACTATTTATGTATATAGGTCATGTAATAAACTATATTATACTCATTGCTGGTAATTGTTGTGTATATCGCTCGTTCTGGGCGGAAGGGCGTGGCTACAAGGTCACACACACACCGCATCACTTCCACTTGTACCTTCCGTACAAGTGGAAGTGATGTGGTGTGTGTGTGACCTTGTAGCCACGCCCTTCCGTCAAGACGTCAACACTGCGTATTGCCCGAACGATTATTTTAGATTAGTTAATGTGGGCCATAATTTCGACCAACGAATGATCGCTTCTCGGTCGTCGGATGACCGATCGGTTGATTTTCGAATCGTGTATTTCTACCTTTAGACACATGCTCAGTGCACATCAAAGACCGGTGAGCTGCAATATAGGACCACATTTTTCTTCTTGCATTTAGATACACTGTAACCCTTTCCCCGCTAGAGCTGTTTTTACCTTTTTTTTCCCCCAAATGCTAAAATGCACATTTTAGGCCTGAAGATTAGTTAAAACCCCCAAACATTATACATTTTCTGAAATCAGAGACCCTGGAGAATAAAATGGTGGTAGCACAATTTTTTCCTTTTTATTTTTTTTTTATTTTTTACAAGGATATAAGCTCAGCACTTCATCAAATACATATTTTTCAGTTAAAATACGCTCGTTAATTTTAGTGCACACTGAAGCAAAATATTACCCAATTTTTTTGCCACAATATAAGAGATGAGGTTGTGCTGAGTAAGGGCTCATGTACACGGGGAGTTTGGAAAACTCTTCTGAACGATGGAAACTGACTGCTGGAAAACGTAGGTTAAAAAATGTCTGTTTAGCTGCGTTTGCATACCACGTTTATTCGTGTTTACGATTAGAAGCGTTTTCAAAAGATAACTTCAGGAGACCTTCCAAATGCTCAGAATGCACTGAAAAACAGTACAAAATTAACTATTTCAGACATTTCGAGAGAAATAGAGAGAGCAGAAGCAGAGAGAGCAGTATGTGTTGAGATGACCTGTCTTTTCTGGTTGTGTTCACTATAAATCCCATCATGAGCATAATGCGGCACGTTCTAACATTTTTTCCTTCTTGCGAAACCTGGAACTGACTGCGCTGATGTACTGGGTCCATTTGAATACATGGAAAACGCTCTGCATGGATTTCTGATATAAAAAAGGCTCTGGACAGCATCTGGACATGGAACAGTTAAAAAACACTTATAACCGCAAACGCTTATAAACGCGGTTAACCACGTTTACAAGTGTTTGACGTTTGAAACGCCGGTAAGATCTACTCCTGAACGCAAGTTTGGTGCATTAAAAAAAACGACTGTAAACTCAACTGCCTGTAAATGACTGTAAACGATATAGTGTACATGGAGACATAGGAAAACATCAGGGAGAGTTCAGGGGCTGCTGAAAAAAAAACGCTGAACAGCTCCTGAACGTCAGTTTATCAGATGCAGTGTACATGAACCCTAAATAGATGCCGATATGTCACGCCTTAGGGTCCATGCTCACCGGGCTTAAAAAAAATGCTATTTCTACAGGAATTTTGTGTGTGGGGTGGGGGTTTCTCCTTTCTCTAGAAGCAGCTCAATGTTATCCTATGTGTCCATGCACATTAGGACGTTTAGAGGCAAACGCAAATGCTAAATGCTCACAGTGGTTCGTATTACACAAGAGTTTAGGAGAGTTTATCGGCATTTGCTTTTATAAGCATTTTTTCCCCAAAACATTCCACTCTGCTCATTTATTAATGTACGCTTGAAACGCAAACGCTCCTAAACGCCTTGTTTAAGAGCTTTTCAGAGATTTTATGACCTTGTCTTAAAAATGAGATCCAAAGGGGTTTTTCCTTTCTGCCTACTAAACGCTGAGTTTAAAATGCAGAAAAAAAAACCTTCTGGATCTCATTTTTAAGACAAGGTCATACAAGCCACTGAAAATTTTGAAAAAAAAAGTTTCTTAGTTTTTGTTATAAAATTTTGTAAATAAGTGATTTTTCTCCTTCACTGATGTGCGCTAATGAGGCTGCAGTGATGGGTACTGATAAGCTGCACTGATGGACACTGATAGGTGGCACTGATGGGCACTGATGAGGAGGCACTGGTAGGTGGCACTGATGGGCATTGACAGGCATCACTGATGGGCGGCACTGACTGGCACTGTTAGGTGGCACTGACTGGCACTGTTTGGCAGCACTGACTGGCACTGTTAGGCAGTACTGACGGGCACTGATAGGCGGCACTGATGTGCACTGATAGGTGGCACTGATTGGCAGCACTGATTGGTGGCACTGATAGGTGGCACTGACGGGTGACACTGAAAGGCAGCTCAGATGGGCACTGATATGTGGCATTGATGTGCACAGGTAGGCACTGATATGTGGCACTGATGGGCACTGGCACGTGGCACTGATGGGCACTGACAGGTGGCACTGCTGGGGCTACACTGATCACCTCTGGGTTTTTTATTTTTTCTTAAACAAACCAAAAGCCACTGAAAATTTTTTGTTATAAAATTTTGTAAATAAGTGATTTTCGTCCTTCACTGATGTGCGATAATGAGGCTGCAGTGATGGGCACTGATAGGCTGCACTGATGGACACTGATATGTGGCACTGATGAGGAGGCACTGGTAGGTGGCACTGATGGGCATTGACAGGCATCACTGATGGGCACTGAAAGGCGGCACTGATAAGCGGCACTGATTGGCACTGATAGGCGGCACTGACTGGCACTGTTAGGTGGCACTGACTGGCACTGTTAGGTGGCACTGACTGGCACTGTTAGGCAGTACTGACGGGCACTGATAGGCAGCACTGATGCGCACTGATAGGCGGCACTGATAGGCAGCACTGATATGTGGCACTGATAGGTGGCACTGACGGGTGACACTGAAAGGCAGCTCAGATGGGCACTGATATGTGGCATTGATGTGGCACTGATGGACACTGACAGGTGGCACTGCTGGGGCTACACTGATCATCAGGGCACACTGATCATCAGTGCTCTGTCCCCTCCACGGAATGCCGATTACTGGCTCTCCTCTCCTCTCGAGCTGTCAGCGTGACAGCTTGTGAGGAGAGAAATGCCGATAACCGGCATTTCCCTGTTTACTTGTGATCAGCTGTGATTGGACACAGCTGATCACATGACCGAGCCAACATCTTCGGCTCTTTCCATGGATCGGTGATCCGCTGTGTCCCTCGGACACAGCGCACCGCTGATCGCCATGCTGCGCGCACCCTGAGCCGCACATGCGCGGTGAGAATGGGAGGGTGTCAAATGACGTCCTCCCAGAATGAGAGAACCACCTTGCGTCCGTCATTGGACTATATGGCGGGCGGGAGGTGGTTAAAAGCCCTACATGTTACTCTATGGGGTTGATTTACTAAAGACAAATAGATTGTGCACTTTGCAAGCACAGTTGCTCCAGACCTTAGTAAATGAGGTGAAGCTCCACCTTGCAAAGAATACCCAATCACATGCAAGGAAATAAAAAAAAAAACAGCATTTTTGCTTGCACATGATTGGATGATGGAGTCAGCAGAGCATCAGCTCATTTACTAAGCTCTGGAGCAACTGCACTCTGCAAAGTGCCCGGTCTATCTGCCCTCAGTAAATCAACCCCTACGTGTCCATGCATAGGTGTGTTTAAAGGCAGAAAAAAAAACCCACTGCCAGTGTGTCCAGGAGCAGCAGCATTTTGGCAGAAAACCGCTTGATGCGTGTACACATGCATTAATGCTAGCTGTGTTAATTTAATAAAAACAAAATTATGATTCTGGCCAATACAATTAATTGTTACCCAAGCGCATAATGTGCCTAAATGTATCTAGATACGTTAACACACGCCAAGCATTTTATTTTCCAAAATGCTGCTGCCAGGAGGAACGGCGTTTAGGAAAGCTGGGCAAAGCCATGTGTGCATGATATGTAAAGCCATTGCTGTTTTCCTACGTAGGTGTCTCTGAAACATGCCTCGTTCATTAGTGCATGTACGCGGGGATGGAGAAGGCCCTAAACGGCTCTAAAAAGGCTCTAGCTTTTTAGGGTAGCTTGGGTGTCACTTTAATGGTTTACACTTTTATTTCACTTAACTTTACTGGTATTGTATAGGGAGACTGACAACCCCCCATACATTTTGTGTCATAGATTGTCTTTACTCATTACTGAGAGCCTTGATGTCTTCTCTGCCCTCTACTGACACTAATGGAACACAGATCCTTTTCCAGCCACAATGTCCAGGGAATGGTAGTAAAAAACAAAAGTGGCATAATACATATCACTTATGGGTTCTTTCTAGCTAGGGGAGATCAGCGACCTGACGTTCGCTGATCATCTTCCCCGCCACATGGCGACACCCACTATGCCTGTCTTGGGCCTGCAGATGGAATAGAGGAGCCCGGGAAATATGTCAGAGGAAGGAGCATTCAAGGGAGCCTGTGAAAGTGATCTGGTGGCTGTATCAGAGCCAGGAGTGTGTGTAAAATCCCCTGCGGCTTTTGACGTATGTATCAGGCAGCCCATAGATGAGGTCTGCGCTTTTTTTTTTTTTTTTTTTTTTTTAGTTCAAGAAGCAGGTTGAACAAAATAAATGCCCCCATCCACACAGTCAATATGGATAGGGAAATCAGTGAGCTCTCCACTGAGCTGTTGTATTCTGACAGCAGGAAGACTTCCCTGCCATCAGAATACACTGATCAGCATTGCAGGCTGTAGCCTGCAGCGCTGATTGAGTGGGGAAAATCTGACTAGGTGGTTGTACAGAATTTGGTGTACAACCTCCCCACCCATACATGGATCGAAATTCGGCCGGTCCCTGCTGAACCAGCACAATTTTGATCCATGTAAGCTAGATTTACTCGACCTTCATAGCTAGGACTGACTTGCACAAAGTTAAAACCTTGGTGTGTTTCTTCTGGGTCTGTCAGTAATCCAGTGAAAAGCTTTGACTGCTGAAGAACTTGCTGTAATAAAGACCGGTCACTGCTGCTCTCTGTCATTGTGCAGGGTGACTGGTCTAGTCTCCGCCCTTTCCTGTAGTTTTCTGCAAACAGGCTGTAGTGGGTGGGGTCGGCCATGTCCCTCCCACAGCTCTGCTCTCTGCACAGACTATATACAACCCAGTTATGATGTCACTGCTACAAATAAATATCTATGTCTTTAGGTGCACAGTATTTATACAGTACAGGATTTATATCCTTTGTGGCCATTGAAGAATATATTTACATAAAGTTTCTAGTGCCCAGAGTTTAGCTTTAAGTCCTCGTGCACACGGGACGTTTTTACAGCGGCTGTTTTTGGCTTTTGACATTTTTTTCTACAGCCAGTAAACCCCCCAGCATGTTATCCTATGTGTCCATGCACACAGACTGTAATCAATGTTTTTTGGCAGGGGCGTTCTTTGGCTGGAAAAAACCCCAGGACTAGTGGGTTTCTAGGAGTTTTTTTAGCTGTAAAAATGCTCTAACACTGAAAAACGTGGTAAACCGGAGTTTTTGGACATTTTTTAGGAGAAAAAAAAACATTTTTTTTGGTAACAAAATCGCAAAAAAAAAACGCCACTAAAAGCTAATGCAAAAACACTAAAAAACTCAAGTTTTTAACGTGACTTTACACAGCTACTGTTATCAGTGTTATTAAAACGCCCCGTGTGCTTGGAGCCTTAAAGTGCTAAACCATCCTGGCTTCTAAATCTGTTTTTATCCCCATAGTTCAGTTTTGGATACCATGTTGATGATGCTTCCCTACCATGGGCTACTCATCTCTGCTTATCTCCCACCCTGGTCCAATAGCAGACAAGCTGCATCTGACATCTTTACATCCATAAATCAAACAAAAGAACAATAGGCAAATCGCAAAATCTTTTCCAGGCCCGCCGTGCTTCGTGCCCATCAGATACCAGCCAGCAATTCCTTTAGCAGCATTTCATCGGCACAGCGGGCAACCGGCATGGAAAGCGGTCAGGCACACAAGACTGTAACAAAGGTTTATTGGTCTTTTTTTGTTAAGATTTAGGTCAGAGCTAAACAAAACCCAGTCCATTAACCATCCCAAAATGCCTGAGACGCATGGCTTGCGTCTGGGGTAGTGTTAAGTGCGATTTCTATCCAGTCGGCAGGAGAGGGGGGGAGGAAAAAAAAAAAAGAAGGGAAAAAATCCTTCTAGAAAAATTTCACAGTCTAATTAGCTTTCCTAAACAAACACAAATTCGCATAATGAGGTAGAATTTCTTGTTTCTTTTTTTTTTTTTTCCTTAGCAGCAGATCTGAAATTACCGGAGGTCATATGCACAGAGGGTGAGCGGGTGGATGGCGTTGACCTGAGCTGCAAATTAGGAGATTTGCAAACGGTAATTGAGTAGAGGGAAGATATTCATTACCAATCACAACTGCTGTGATAACTAAGGAACAATTAGAAATACTGACAAGTGTGACAAATATTGCAGACATATTTGGGATTGGCAGCAATGCACAGAGCCGGTAACATAGCATTGGAAATTTGGTTTTAGTGACAGTCTTCTGGGCACAGGTTTTAGGGTTCATGCACATGGGAGAGTTTATAGGCATTTTCTATAAACAGCGTAAAGTTCCCAACACTTTCCCACACCTATGGAGCAGCACATACCGTGTACAGCCTGCCATAAAAATGAGTGTACTTTACCAAATGCTGATGCTTGTTTACATTGTTTACCTGCACATGTGCATCCAGTCTATTTTCCACGCATGTGCATCCAGTCTATTTTCCACGCATGTGCATCCAGTCTATTTTCCACGCATGTGCATCCAGTCTATTTTCCGCGCATGTGCATCCAGTCTATTTTCCACGCGTATGTGCATCCAGTCTATTTTCCACACATGTGCATCCAGTCTATTTTCCGCGCATCTGCATCCAGTCTATTTTCTGCGTATGTGCATCCAGTCTATTTTCCGCGCATGTGCATCCAGTGTATTTTCCACGCATGTGCATCCAGTCTATTTTCCACGCATGTGCATCCAGTCTATTTTCTGCGCATGTGCATCCAGTGTATTTTCCGCACATGTGCATCCAGTGTATTTTCCGCGCATGTGCATCCAGTCTATTTTCCACGCATGTGCATCCAGTCTATTTTCCGCGCATGTGCATCCAGTGTATTTTCCGCGCATGTGCATGCAGTCTATTTTCCGCGCATGTGCATGCAGTCTATTTTCCGCGCATGTGCATGCAGTCTATTTTCCGCGCATGTGCATCCAGTGTATTTTCTGCGCATGTGCAACCAGTGTATTTTCCGCGCATGTGCAACCAGTGTATTTTCCGCGCATGTGCATCCAGTGTATTTTCCACGCATGTGCATCCAGTGTATTTTTCCGCGCATGTGCAACCAGTGTATTTTCCGTACATGATTCACTGTAATCGAGGAAACTCCATTTTCCTGTTTGGGGACGCACTAACTGCCTTGTGGTTAATATAATAAAACAGATCTCTGTGGACCAGTGGTTGTCAACTTATGAGCTAAAGGGGACCTCAAATGCAGCCTCCGACAACACGAAAGGGCAGCATGTAATGTTCAATATATACAAATCAAACAAAAGTGAAGTGCGCCTAACTTCAAAATACAGGATGCAACAAAGTACAATAATCAATAAATGATAACGTTCTCCACAAAGTAAAATATGTTCATGCATAACGCATGTCATCGGATATAACACGTTGAAAAAAAAAGTGCAAATGCAAATATTGCATAAACTCAAGTGAAACATTCTTAAAATGAAAATTTTAGTTTGAAAATCTACTAGCGTATACTAAGCTGAACACTCAGGTACACGAGCAAAAATAACAAAAAAAAAAAAAGATTGGGTCAGAATGTGTGACACGTGTTTGGGTGCCATTATTCTCAATGGTGCCCTAAACGTAGTGCGATTCTGCAGCAAAATTTGCTGTTAAAATCATGCTAAGCTTGTCTCCCAAAATAGGAAGGGGAGTTTCTTTTAGGTTACAAAACGC